TACCATTGACCTTCCCGTTGATCACCAAACTGTCAGCGGTTTTTCCTAGACTCCTAACGGAAAACATCCTAGGGGCTCTGTTTTCTTCAGCCAATACTCGCTCATTAGTGTTGATTTCCGGGTGCCTATGTTCTCTCGATGGTAAACGGAATCGCATTTGGACGCGGCAATCCCGTTTGATGTGGCCATTCCTGCCACATCTATAGCAACTTATGTCCTGGGATCTTCCGATGTGCCGATGTTCTCTGGATGGTGAATGGAATCGCATTTGGATGCGACAATACCGTTTGATGTGGCCATTCCTGCCGCATCCATAGCACCTCATGTCCTGGAATCTTCTTTGGTTCTCTGTCTGGGTGTTGTTGACTTACTTGTTTATTAGTAGCTCACATAGTTTGTCGAATTTTCTACACATCTCCTCCAAACTTCTGTGGGTACTCTCGGGCTGTTCCTCTACGTTACCGATCTTATCTTCGGTCTAGGGATGGCGCTAAAAGCAGCTTCGATTTCCAGCGCCCTGACGAGTGCTTCGCTGCTGGTAGAAAATCGGGATATTTGCAGCGCCCTCTGTAATTCGTTGTCCCTCAGTCCGCTGATAAAGCACTGAGCAGCGAGTTCCTCCATAAATCCTTCCGGTGCTTCAGGATACGCTAGGTGTACCAGCCGACGTAAGTCTGCTTCGAATTCCTGCAGACTCTCTCCGGACCTCTGCAGGCGTGTCTTGATCTGGGCCTGGTAAAGTTGGCGTCGATGTTGGTCGCCATATCTTCTGTCCAGTGCAGCGACCAAAGTTTGATATTCCTGCTGTTGGGCTGCAGGAATAGTTTGCAGGAGTTCCAGGGCAGAGCCACGCAGCGCGATGACAAGTGCCGCTGCTTTCTCCTGGTCAGTCCATCCATTGGCAGCAGCCGCTGCTTCAAACTGGCGGTGGTACATCGTCCAGGTGGTTTGTCCATCGTAGGTCGGTGCCTTGAGGTTCGCAGTTCCAGAAACGCCAGGTGTCCTTACTTGTACCTTGGTCTTCTGTAGGTCCATCTCTAATTTTTCCATTTTCTGCTGAAGGCGTTCCTCCAGATCTTCTACGGCTTCTTGGAAGTGATTCTGCTGTTCCTGGCAACGCATTTCCAACATTGCTTCTTGCTTTTTTTCCATGTCTCCGAAGCTTTTCTGAAGTCGAATTTCCTGATTTTCTAAGATTTTCTGAAGCCGGTCCTGTTCTTCTTGCTTTTCTCTCTGACGTCGCTCCTCCAAACGAATTTCCAAATTACCCAATATTTTCTCAAGCCGGTCCTGTTCTTCTTGTTTCTCTTGTTGTCGTTGGATTTTCAAATCTTCGAAAATTTTGTCTTGATTTTCTAGAATTTTCAGTAAGCGGTCCTGTTCTTCTGCTTTCTCTTTTTCTAGTCGGGCTCGCTCTTCTTCTCGTTCTTTACGGAGTCTTTCTTGATCTTCTGCTTTTTCTTTTCGCAGCCTCTCTTGTTCTTCTGCCTTCTCTCTTCTCATATTCTCCATAAAATCGCCCAATAATTTGCTTACTTCTTCCATTTTCTTCGCTTGTTCTCTTGTACCAACCATAAAAATACTCTAATTGGGTCTAAAAATCTTCCAATCCACTTAATTTCTTCTTAAAATCCTCTTGAATCGCACTTCCGACACCAATTGTTACGGATTCCGTGGGTCCACTAATTTAAACTCACAATAAAATACTTAACGAATTTATTTTTCTCACTTTATACACAATTACTAACTTATAACACACAACAAACTAACTATTTATAAGATTCCTTCACCAAATTGTCCGATTTTCAATTTCCACGCGGTATATTCAAATTTCAAAACTCTTAAACTTCTCCAACTGTCGTAAGCGCTCCTTTTATAGCTGTGGTGAGTGTTTCGCGAACAATCTAAAATTATCGGGACGGGTCCGCCATCTACTAGTACATTCTATTGTCTGCTTCGCTTACTTGTCGACTTGATTAAGAGATGGCGCTACAACAAAATATTGTCTTCAGGTTTCTGGACACGTTGCGGTTTTAGTTGCTCGCTTCTCCGACAGATGGCGCCACATACACCTTGACAATATAAAATGACAGCGATCTTCGTTTCATAGCCATCGTTGACGCCGTTTTTTTCTCGATCATACAGTATTTTTAATTTCAATTATGGAAATTTCAATCTATAATGCCATGGCTGTGTTCCTAATGAAAATTTGACAGAAGATAGCAAGTATGTGAAGTCACGAAAAAACATTAGACCATCAAAAACAAAATTAGTGGTTTTATAACAGCTATGGGTGAGCCACTTTTGAAAAACACCCGGTATATATTCGAAAAGATAATCATATTTTTAAATATTTCAAAAATAAAATTAATATTGAATCTTTTTTTTATTAAAAGACACTTGAATTTTATTTGTGCTTATAGATGTATCGAAAATAGGTAAATATTAGAAAATATATGTTATTTTTAGTAGATTACGCTTCTGGAAATGTATTGCTGTTTGAAGAGGTACTTAAAATTTAAATCTTCTTGTTGAAGTTCACTGAGATAAAATGCCATTGAGCCGAAAATCACTGGTTTTCTATTTATTAATTTTCTCTTATATGGCTCAGAATTGATAATTGAAACCTTAAAAATTCAAGCAGCTATTACTACTAGTAGTGTTAAAATGTTCAAAAACTAAAATAGGTACCGGGTGCGTCTCAAAAGTGGCTCACCCCCTATAACTTTTGTTATTTTTTCAGATAAAAAAACGAGATTTGTTATGTTAGTATATGACATAAATTAGGATTGATTGACGTATTCAATTGTTTCCGGTCACTTCCTGTTTTACCTGAAATGCAAAATAGCAACCTCTGTATTTTTTTACTTTATTCGATAGAAAATAACACTCTGAATAGAATGACATGTCGTATGTCAACTTTTGACATTTTCCAAATGGTTTAGTTGAAATTATAACTTGCGGTTCGTAACGAAAATTTTAATCGAAATACCAAGTGTGTGGTATCAAATTATTCGTAAAAAAATGCTTTTTCCAAATATGCTAACGAGCCACCCTCGTTCCATTTGAAAAAATTGAGATATGATTAAAAATACGATTTGAGCATTTTCTAACTGGTCAGGATAAGACACGAAAAACATTAGAAGATGAAATTTATTTTTCCAAGGCTCCTTGATTAAGAATTAATGTTTTTAATATAACCATGGCACTCTAGATTGAATTTTAAAATACAATTTTTTATTAAGCGAGAATGTCAAAAGTTGACATATATGTTATTTTATTCAGAATGCCATTTTCTATCGAATAAAGTAAAAAAAATACCAAGGGTGCCATTTGAAAATCAAAAGTTGTAGTCATTTCCGGTGAAATAGGAAGTGACCAAAAACAATTGAATACGTCAATCAATCCTAATTTATGTCATATACTAACATATCAAATCTCGTTTTTTTATCTGAAAAAATTAAAAAGTTATAGGGGTGAACCACTTTTGACACGCACCCGGTATACCTACATTATGGAAATAAATATGTATTGTATTGCTATCTTGTACCAAAACTAGAATATGTTTTTTTGTGCATATTTTTTGTGCAACGATTAACAAGATACTTATCGTATTAATTTTTGTTTATTATCGTTATTGGATCAGCATTATCTATTGTGAATTATTTGAAAAGTGCTGTCGATCATTAGCGTAATGAGCAATTTATCCTGGGGTGGGCCTGGGGGGGCCTGGTGTTGAGCCCAGGAGGGGCCTAGGGCTTTTGTTTTTTTTAATGAAAAATAATTTTAAAAAACACATTTTTTGAATAAAACGTTTACATGAATTTCTCTATCAATAAATTTCATAGACTTGGTTATCAAACCGTGTTCCCGTAGATTACTTAAATACCTACAAATTTTCTAAAAAAATAAAATTTAACACATTTTTTGAACAGAACAAAATAATATTAACTAAACAAAACTAGAAGACGTCATTTTTACTACATCACAAGCAAATAAAAATTAATACGTAGCCAAGAGTCATAGTTCAGGATTTCTCTGGGGGGTGCCCAGCAGTACCTGGGGGGGGGGGCGGCACCCCTGTAGTTACGCCAATGCTGTCGATCTATTCTTTCTTCCATAACTATATACTCAGATGCAAGAAAAAAACGCATCGAAGCATTTTTTCAAGTTTATATTATTATATTTTTTTACTTTTAGTCCTATTTCTATGATTTTTTAGCAAACTGTATATAAAACTATGAACTTTAATTTATAAATGCAGTTTTTTTATAAAATTTAATATTTGGCTTATTATACAGAGTTAATTATTGAAGGGTTGTTTTTTACTATAACTTTAACCCGGCCTGTGTAATAATTTTGTAAGTAATTTTTCCTAAAGTATTATTTTTCGATCAGAACCATGTCTCCTGAGCATTTTCTTTTTTGACTCATGTCAACGCACATGCCTTTTGGTTAATTTTTAAGAGCAAAATGAACTTGCCACCAACAATTTGCAATTTTTTCAACTATCATTACTTGATGATGTTATTTTTTAATATCACAAGGTAGCTTTGGTGACTATTATCCATATATAAAAGAAAATAATCTACTATTAAGACTATTGTCGTAATGTCATATCGACACTTATGAGAACTCTATATTTAAATTTAAAAAAAAGTTAAAAAGGAGCGATACAGGTTTGGTTTTAATAAATATTAGTAACACTAACAGAACTAATTATAGATATTACAAAAATACAAAATTTTCCATAGAAAAAAAGTTACAGCGATTTGTTAAAAATACATATTTTTGAAAAACACCCCGTAACTCATAAACGGTAACAGATATCGATATGCAGTTTTCACCATCACCGATATTAGTTTTCGTCTATCTCCTATAGAAAATGGTGTTTCCCTTTAAAAGCGTCCAATTTGACCCACCCTGTACATATAACTCTATTTCGTAATTTAATACTAATAATAATTGGTAAATAAAATAATTTTAAATTTATTTTTTAGAACTGACCAATTATCTCCCATACTACTCAGAACTGAAAATTGAAACCATGAGAATTAAGGCAGGTACACCAGTAATCCTCAAATGTTCACCTCGAGGAGAATGGGAATACAAGGTAAAAAAAAACAACGCTTTATTGTACAAAAAGTCAAAACAGCTTCATCGACAAAGCAAAACAAAAAAAGTACAAAAACAAATATACAAATAATACAAAAAATGTCATACAATACAAATCAATTCAAAAAAAAAATTTACGTCATAAAATTACAAATAAAACATATATGGACATTGCAGAACACAGGCGTATCTAGAAAATTTTACAAAAGGAAAACTGTAAGTGGATAAAATCATGTTAGAATAACATAAAATCAAGAGTTATAAAATATTAAATACTAGACCTTTAGCCAGTGTGTGAGATGATCAAAATATTAAAATTAAAACTCTAAATTGTTCATGATTAAACATCAACAAAAAAGTCGTTTACCGCATATAGGGCTCTCTCCAGTAAGTATGATTTCAGAGCTTTGCGAAATGCGGGAAAGAATGAAAGTGACTTGATATTCGAAGGCAAATGATTGTACATTTTCTTGGCATTGTACAGTATTGAGCCCTTAACTAGTTCTGAGCTCGGGGTTGGCAGATAAATATCGTGCTCCGCATTCCTAAGTGGATAGTTGTGAGAAAGCCTTTCCGGAATAGAGAATATGTGCTTGCGGATTAAGCAAACGGATTCAAAAATGAATAAGGAAGGAAGAGTCAGTATTTTGAAATTTTTAAAGAAATTCTGGCAGTGAGTTCTACTGTTTAGTCCCAATAAGTATCGAACTGCTCTCTTTTGAAGTTTGAAAATACGATCAAATTTTGTCGCGCAGCAAGTACCCCAGAATGGAAGGGCATAACGAAGATGCGACTCAAAAAGGGCATAATAGACCATTCTAGAGGTTGATGAGTTAAGTTCCTTAGACACTGATCTTAGCGCAAAACAGGAAGAGCTTAGTTTCTTTGATAAGGCTTCGATGTGCAAGTCCCATTTTAAAGAGTTGTCCACAACAAGTCCTAAGAATCTCACAGAGTCCACGACGTCAATAGTGGTGTTATTAGGTACAAAAGGTTGTATAGTACTTTTATATGACAAAACTTTAGTTTTTGAAAGGTTGAGGCATAGGAGATTAGAATCGCACCAAGATTTAATGGTTCGTAAGTCACTGGATATAGTATCATATAGTGCCGTAACATCTGAGCCGCTCCAAGTGAAACTAGTATCGTCCGCAAAGAGGCAGATTTTACCGCTAATGTCTAGATTTGCAATGTCGTTGATAAACACCAGAAATAAAATAGAGCCAAGTACTGAACCCTGAGGGACACCACATTCTATAGGCTTACAAGAAGACATAGACGTATCAATCCTCACAAGCTGTCTTCTGTTGCCAAGATACGACTTAAGCCATTCGAACGGCACTACCCTGAATCCATAGTTTTGCAATTTGTTAATTAAGATATTATGATTTACACAGTCGAAAGCCTTAGAGAAATCACAGAAAATTGTAGCTGTAGAGTGATGGTTATTCAGGTTAGAGTATACATTATTAAAAAGGTCGAACATAGCATCATTTGTGCAACTGTTACTTAGAAATCCAAATTGATGGGTAGAAAGTACTTTATATTTAAGGAGAAAAGATAGAAGCCTTTTTTTAACCAATCTTTCAATGATCTTAGATAATGTGGGCAGGAGAGCAATTGGGCGATAGTTCGACGCTTGATCTTTATCTCCTCCTTTATGCAGAGGAATAATTATTGCTGTCTTAAGGCAGTTTGGAATGACTCATTAATTAAAGTAGTAAGATAGATTAATGTGCATTCCGGAAGTTCAGAGAACATTTTGAGAGTAAGCCCATCAGTCCCAGATGAGAATTTATTTTTAATACTTTTAATTGTACTACGGAGCTCATCTAATGCTACGGGCGTGAAGAAGAAACTGTGTAAATTCTCATTTGCTTTAGGGAGATATGAAAGTGAATCATGAGAAGGAGTTATGGTGTTCACTAAATTTTTAGCCACATTAACAAAGTAAGTGTTTAAATCTTCAGGTGAATTAAAGACTGTGCCAGACGAAGAAGTCTTATTCCTTAAGTCATTTACAATAGCCCAAGTCTCTTTAGCAACATTACCGGATTTGGCTAGCCTCCCATTATAATAAATGCCCTTGGCAGCTTTTATAGTCTTATGATAAACCCTTCTATAAAGTTTCACGTAATTATGAAAGAAAACGCTGTCTGATTTTTTTAAGGTGAGATAATGAGCGCATGTTCTTTGCAGATATACGCAAGCCGGTCTTAGACCAGGGTATACCTTGTTTACTTTTGATAGGCCTAAGAGGAAACGCCTTGCACGCCAGATTAGACAAGATATTTATAAATCTAGAAAATTCGGAATCGACGTAAGTCGAGAGGACAACCCACTCAGTTGTTAGACATGGGTGGTGAAAATTTAGAAAATTTTTATCCGAAAAAATACGGCCCAATTTGCGCGAGGTATTTTTGCATTTGGAATGTGGGCAAAAACTGGTATTTTTTTTTTGGTTTAATATTATATAAAATAGTTATGCCCTTTAATTACAACTAAAACAGTCGAATTATATTTGACTATGCATTCATTTACTACATTTAAATAGAATATAGCCCATTTTTATAGTTCGAATTAATTAATTCAGGTTCATGTTTTTTAGTGGTGTGAACCTAGTTATAGAGGAGTTACTTGTGATACTAAAGATGTAACAAAACTGGAAGACAGTATCCAATGGAGAAAACTACGTGTTAGAGACCGTCTGGATCTCGGTGTTGCCAAATCCAGTTTGAATGGCATATATCGATGTGTAGAAAAGCGAAAAGTACGCAAAGCTGTACTTGTGGAAGTGGTAGGTGAGTTGAGTATATTGGTGCAATATTATATAATGCGTATTATACATTTATTCATCATGAATTCTTTAATTATGATGAGTATTTGCGAACTATTAATAAGCTTTTTTATAATCTTCCCTGCGAGAGAATACGGAGAATGTAATGTAACATTTTGACATATGACTTCAAAAGAATAACAGAAAAATAAAATCTGTTTTTGATACAACATGAGAGAAAAGTGTAATAATATTGTATATTGTTTTGATGAAGATACCATACAGGGTGAGTCTAAAATAAAGGCAAATATTTTCAGGGCTGGTAGATCTCGATATAAGAAAGATATTTTCTCTTTACACCGTTTTTCAAATAAATCCATAGTATCTCTTTATGAGTTATTTTACTTTGAAAATTTAAAAAAAATGATTTTTTTGCTAAAATTTTGAGAACCGCTGGATCTTTTCTGAATTTTTTGTCTTGTAAATTTAATCTACTACCTACCATACTATATTAAGTTTATAATTGAAAACTAAAAAAATTTCTAAACCTTTTTTCAAAAAATTCCAAATTTAAATTTTTTTCGCGAATAAAAACTCATAATCGTGTTTCTGGGGTCGAAATATACGACCTCTAAAAATATTTGCACTTATTTAAGGATCATCCTGTATACAGGGTGGTTTAAAAAACATGTGCCATCTCTCGAGGGGAGAATCCCCGCTTAAAAATAAGATTTATTTTTCATGTCATAGGTCCGATTCTGCTTTGTTTCATAGCTACAGGGTGTTAAAGTCTTAATATTTTTCGATTTATTATAATTTTCTTCCAAGTACTTTTAGCGTTTCGAATGAAATTTTGAGGGTAAAAGTTACTATAAATGCGACATATTTTAAATCTAAAAAAGTGTCGACATATTCACCAGGGACGTGCATATGGGTTATCACTAGAATATTTAAAAAAAAACATGTACACCACTGACTTTTTTTCTCTTGTTAGCGAGCGATAGTGTCAGCAGTTTAAGGCCGATTAAAAGTCTCTTGATATTTTGTGGATTTCTGCCTCCTTCATGAGATAAACGCAATTTTATTATTTTTTTTATAATTATTTTTCTTTATCAAACCAATCCAAATCACAAATCATTTTCAAAAGGACTTAAATTTTAAGTCATAAAATGACTTAAGTCATTAAAATGACTTAAAAAAGAAGTTTTCTGCAAACTTGCAGCTCCGCTTTAGTATAATTATGGAGAAAACAATATCATAAATTACTTCCAGTTAAAAACTACCCAAAATTAGGCCTATTTAGACTTAAAAACAGCTTTAAATATGGAGAAAAATTGGACTTGACGTTAACGGTATACTGATTTTTTTATTTGTGTAATTAAAAAAGTCTTAATTTCAAACGCAAATTGGAAGAAATATTATATATTATATAAAGGCGTTCGATTGTGTAAATCATAAGATCCTAATTAATAAACTGCAGCACTATGGGTTCAGGGGAACATCTCTCGAATGGTATAAGTCGTATCTGAGTAACAGAAGTCAACTTGTGAGGGTGGATACCACGTTGTCTTCTAGCAAGCCAATAGAATGTGGAGTACCACAAGGCTCAGTACTAGGCCCTATTTTGTTTCTTCTTTTTATTAACGACATTGCTAACATAAACATCAGTGGCAAAATATATCTTTTTGCGGACGACACTAGCTTCACTTGGAGCAACAAAAGGACGTCACGGCACTTCATAGGATTATATCAAATGACTTAATCACCATTAAATCTTGGTGCGATTCGAACCTACTGAGTCTCAACGTTTCTAAAACTAAAGCTTTGTCGTATAAAAACTCGCTGCAACCTTTTGTACTTAACACCACCATTGACGTCGTAAAATCTGTAAAATTCTTAGGGCTTGTTGTAGACAATTCTCTGAAATGGGACATATATATATCGAAGCTTTGTCGAAAAAATTGTTTTGCATTAAGATCTGTTTCTAAGGAGCTTAACTTGTAAGTGGCTAGAACTGTTTATTGTGCACTTTTTGAGTCGCACCTCAGGTATGTCCTTCCATTCTGGGGTACGTGTTGTGCGACTCAATTTGACCGCATTTTCAAGCTCTAGAAGAGAGCTGTTCGATATTCACTGGGACTAAACAGCAGAACTTATTGCCAGGACTTTTTTAAAATATTAAAAATATTGACTCTTCCTTCCTTATTTATATTTGAATCCGTTTGCCTAATACGTAAGCATGTATCAGCTTCTCAAGAAAGGCCATCTCACACTTATCCACTCAGGAACGCGGAGCAAGATCTTTATCTACCTACCCCACGCTCAGAGTTAGTTAAAAGTTCAATATTATACAACTCGAAAAAAAATGCACAATCACCTGCCATTTGAAATCAAATCCATATCATAATTTTCTTCATTTCGCAAAGCATTGAACTCTTATTTAAGTACTAGACAAAGCTTTCTACGCTGTAAATGAATTATATTTTGAAAATGGAATTTTAACACTGGTCTAATGTTTGCTATTGCTATATTTACTAATGACATCGAAATAAATTTATTTAGAGGTCATTGATATTTACTATAAACTAACTAAATACTTTTGAATATTATTTTTTTGTTCTTTGACATTGTAAACATTTATAAATGTTTATTTTAAACAATAAGACTGACAATATTATTTGTATAATGTTTTGTATTATCTTTTGTTTGTTTGTTTGTGTACCTTGTTTGTTTAGTTTACCTTTGTCTACAAATTGATTTTTTTTTTGACAATAAAGGCATTTATTTATTTATTTATTGTCACCAAGAAGGTTCAGAAAAAACTTCAGTTAAAAATAAGTTGAAATGAGAGAATAACAGTTTTTCACAGTAGAAAATACTTTTAGAATTGTTTTTTCTTGATTTAAAATTTGTGTAAATGCTTCTATTTTATTTTTATTTGTTTATATTTCTTGTTATACACGCTTCTCCATAGCGCAAGAACGTTTATTTGTAAAAATATATACTTTAGATTACCTTCACCATTTTGTCATGCATTTTCGTAACTAAAATCATTGAATTCTTTTCAGATATAGACACTTACAGTGGCCCACCTCCATCAGTAACCTCCCTCAAAACGGCCAACATCACTGATCAGCTGAACGTAGAGTTCACAATACGTTGCAACGTAACCAGTGTAGTACCACCGACGATTATCTGGTTCAAACAATGTTCCGGTCATAAATGCGACGTTCAATACGACGCCATTTGTTACTGTCATTTAAACGAAAGTACCCCGGTACTTCACTTAGGTCACATGCATATAGGAAAACTCAGCATATACAATGCCCGAGCATTCGACAGTGGTTTATATGCTTGTTTAGCTGTTACAGAATATGGTAAAGACTATCGCAATGTCAGTATTGAAGTGCCTGACAGTGAAGGCATCGTGCATCAGCGTGATTCCTCGTTTTCTTTACTGTTTCTTGTTCCATTGCATTTCGTGTTTATACCTGTTATCGTTTGGTTGTGTCATGTTCGTAGAAAACGACGCATCGCACAAACAGAACAACAGAAAAACCTGCTGAGGTCTCACGCCACAACATCTCAAGCTTGAATGACTATTTTGACTGTGATATTTTGATTTAATATTGTAATTTAATAAAATTTGGAATTATTTAATTTGTTTTAATTAATAAAACATGTAAGAATATACATAATCTTTTATAATTTAACAAAAGATCCTTTAAACCTTTTATACCATCTAATAATAATAATAATGATTTGTACTATACAGGGTGCGTCTCAAAATGGCTCACCCCTAACTTTTTTATTTTTTCAGGCAAAAAAAAACGAGATTTGGTATGTTAGTAGGTATATGACATAAGTTAGGATTGATTGACTTATTCAATTGTTTTTATTCATTTTTTGTTCCACTGGAAATGACAACTTTTAATTGCTTAATTTTTACTTTATTTGATAGAAAATGACACTCTGAATAGAATGATATACCATTTCAACTTTTGACATTTTCGCTTAAAAAAATCGTATTTTAAATTTCAGTCTAGAGTGCCATGGCTAAATTTTAATCAAGGAGCCTTGTAAAAATAGATTTGATCGTCTAATGTTTTTCGTGTCTCGTCCTAGCAGTTTAAAATATGGCCAAATCGTATTTTTAATCAATAGAACAAGGGTGGCTCATTAGTATATTTGGAAAAAGCATACTTTATGAATAATTTGGTACCACACGCTTGGTATTTCGAGTCAAATTGCCGTTATAGACCGCATGTTAGAATTTCAAATAAACCATATGCGAAAATGTCAAGAGTTGACATATATGTCATTCTATTCAGAGCGTTATTTTCTATTGAATAAAGTAAAAAAATACCGAGGATGTCATTTAAAAATCATTGTAGTAATCTCCGGTGAAACCGGAAGTGACCAAAAACAATTGAATGCGTCAATCAATTCTCATTTATGTCATATACTAACATAACAAATCTCGTTTTTTTACCTGAAAAAATTAAAAAGTTACAGGGATGAGCCACTTTTGAGACGCACTCTGTATGATGATGGGCAAACAACTACTGGTATATTGAAATTTGGGTAAATACCCAAGATCAATATTGAGATATATTTCACTTTGATAAAATATGAATATGAATAGCGTGTACCAGCGACTTCGCGTCGAATTAATCATTTGTAATGGTGATGATAAAGCAAAGCAAGAATTTCCATTAACATACAAAATGGATAAAATTTTCTCACATTTATGTCAGCATGAGAAAAAACAATATAGCGATATTATTATATAACATGGTAATATTTGAGGGGTAGTTTCATCTCGTTGGAATTTGACTTTGGAAAAATCCGTTTGCCAAAAATAAACTTTTTACGTTAAGCAGTTTAAGCAGAATCGTGGTTAAGAAATTACCCAACGTTTTGGAACACCCTGTATGATTTTTTAAAAATTTCAAAATATGTAAAAAAACCAAATAAATTATGCTTGTCCAAGCATTTTCCCGAAAGACTAACCGTTTTTTAAATAACAAATATTGTAATATTTGAGGGGCGTTTTCATCCTCTTGGAATTTGAGATTTGAGAAACCCCTCGTTATCGAACCTCTACACTCCACAGTCGATCCGGTTGCCTAAAATCAGCTTTAAACGTCAAACAGTTTAAGCAGAATCGTGATTACTCAATGGTCATATTTTATGAAACACTCTGTATAAATTTATAAAAAATCTTAAAATATGTAAACAACAAAATAAAATATACGTGTTTAAGAGTTTTTCCGAAAAACTCACCGGTTGTTAAATAAAAAATATTTTAATATTTGAGGGATAGTTTCACCCCCTTAAAATTCGAGTTTCGAAAAATCCCTTCTTATCGAACCTCTACACCCTAAAGTCAATCTGTTTTCCAAAAATCAGCTTTTTACGTCAAGCGCTATAAGCAGGATCGTGATTAATCAATGACCAGATTTTTCGAAACACCCTGTATACATTTTACAAAAATTTTAAAATATGTAAAAAACAAAATAAAATATACGTGTTTAAGCGTTTTTTCGGAAACTTGAAGTTTTTTAAATAAAAAATATTGTAATATTTGAGGGGTGGTTTCACCTTCTTAGAACTGGAATTTCGAAAAATCCCTTCTTATCGAACCTCTACACCCTAGAATTAACCTGTATGGCAAAATTGAGCTTCTTACGTTGAGTGGTTTGAGCAGGATCGTGATTAATCAGTATGTCAGTCACTTAAGGATTTTATATAATAGTATAGATTAGGAATTATTTAATTTATATTAAATTTAAATAAAGCATTAAAAATATAATTTTTATAAAACAAAATCCCCTTTAAATGTGAGTATTACATGTTATGTATTCTAACTATTTGCATGACTTAGATTGAAAATATTCTTGTGATCCTTTCGGGTCTGGTTTAATAGTCTTATCTCCTTTTCTCCAGTTTGCAGGGCACACTATAAAAAACATTATTGAAATAATTACTATAAATATATTAAATCATCTCATACCTTCTCCATGTTTTTCTACAAACTGTATTGCCTCAATCAACCTTAGAACTTCATCTACCGATCTTCCAATTGGTAAGTCGTTGACTGTTATCTGTCTTAATACTCCATTTGGATCAATTATGAACTGTCCCCTTAGGGCAATACCTTCTTTTTCAAGTAGGACATCATAATCTCTTGCGATCTGTTTATTAATATCTGAGAGAAGAGGATATCTCAATGGACCCAAACCACCTTTCTAAAATTATATAACTATAATACCTTATATAACTGACTTATTATAAAAACTAATGCTCATACCGATCTTTCAGTGTTAATCCATCCTAAGTGAGAGAATTGAGAGTCAATAGAACATCCAATGACTTCAGCGTTGAGAGCTTTGAAATCATCTATCCTCTCATCTAAAGCTATCAGTTCTGTTGGGCAAACAAAAGTACTGAAATAATAGGTAGTTTTACTTAAAATTCGATGACCTAAAATCAGGGTGTGAAATGTAACTTACAAATCTAGAGGATAGAAGAATAAGACCACATATTTCCCTTTGTAGTCGCTGAGTTGTATGCTTTTAAAATCCCCATTGATTACTGCTGTGCCTGCAAAGTTTGGTGCGGGTTGCTGTACGCGTGGAGACAATGCTGTGGATGCTATAAATTCGATTTTTAATATATTTAAAGTAAGATTTGTATGAATGCTTACTCAGTGATAGTGTTCGTGTTACGAGATTCGTTGAGGTGAGACATGCCGAAGATTTTACTAGTTTTGGTACCTAAGTAATAAAGAAATCTTAGATATATCTTAAAATGTAAGAAAATAAATTAATAAAGCGTATAAATATAAGTACAAACCAGCCTGACAACTCTGGAAAACATTTTTATTTTTTTAATTTTCAATAAATTCACGAAAAAACCTAAAACCTGAAATTTTTAGGTTAGTGTGACGTCTTCTTCCTTCCGTCAGCTGCCTGGCCATAAATCAGAGGTCATTTGTTCAAAGTTAAATATTTGTGAATACATTGAATGATAAGGAAATTTTATAATCAAAATTTGATTATTAAAATCTGTATTTCATACAGATTTTAGCGCAAAATTATTTCGAAAATATACCTATAGTTTAATTATAGATCCATAATTTTGATCTACCTATGTGTTTATTTTAAATATTAGGAGCAGATTAGGAGCTAAATTATATATAAATAATTATATAAAAAAGTTCTACTACTTACCTATATGATATTTAAATGCTAAAATATTTGTTTATATTTTTTAGTTATTAATACTAATAGTTAATTTATAAGAATTTATTAACGCATATTAGATATTAGACCTAGGTAGGTATTTTTGCGCGACTTTTAGCTTTTTATAGGTAGGTAAATAGTAAATAGCAGACAACATAATTTTTTCGTGTCTTAGATTGACCTTTTTAAAATACAAACAAAATAGGTACCTATGCAGTGTTAGCGTTTATATTTTTTATTCTAGTTCCTAAGTCCTTTGAGATAATTTTGTGTTTATAAACAAAAGGTAGCAAGCACCAAACCAAAACTACATGTTACTTTTAAAAACTACATAAACTACATTACATGTAGTTAATGTAGTTTATGTAGAGGGTGTAGTTTATCTAACTTATGTATGTAACTTTCAAATATCAAAGGTTTGAGGTGAGGTTTTAATATGTTGAAGCTTTAAAAACACATAATGTATTTAAGAAAACAGAAGAAATATGGCTTTAAATATATTATTTACATCATATTATCTCTATTACACCTCATACAAAGGAAAATTATTCATAATATCAATACATAGTTTATTAACGTAGTTTTCATGTAGTTAATGAACGAGAAAAGACGTAGTTTTTGAAGAAAAACTACACGTAGTTAATCAGGTAAATTACGTCTTAATTAACTACTTCCGAACCCTGGTAGCAAGTATAACTGGATACTTACATACATGAACAAATTTGCGCGCATAAATTGTGTATGTACCAAAAAAAAAAGATACATACAGGGTATCCGGAAACTAGTGCAACAAAATTTGGTCATAGATTCTTGAAAAAAAAACATAGGTGACCCGTATTTTTTTATTTTTGGCGAGTGGCTCCCCTTTTCGGATTTACAGCCGCCTGAATTTCGCCCCTAAAATGAGTTTTTTTTTAATATCTCAGGGCTCTGTTGGACGAAAATCACTAAATTTGGTACACGTTGTTTTAACATAAAATGTCATTTTTGATGCTATTAACTTTTATATTTTCATCAGTGGCGTCCCTACGGTATTTAAACTAAATATTATTGAAGAAAAAAATGGTACGCCACTGTTTTTTTTTAAATAAAAATTATTTTAAAATTTACATTAAATTTGGAACAACGCGGTTTTCGCGTAAAAAATAAAAACCATTCTCATACATGACTAAATCGCTAAAATTTTACCGTAAATTTACATGGCAAAATTTTCAAAACGGCAAACTTAAGTTTAAAATAATTTTTTATTTTCTAAAATCTTGTTTTTATTACTTAAGTGCGAACCAAAATGTCCAAAAACCTAAATTGCCGTTTTTTAAATTTTGCTATGAAAATTTACATTAAAATTTTAGCGATTTAGTCATGTATGAAAATGTTTTTTTTTACGCGAAAAAAGTCACGAGATCAAATTTGTTCCAAATTTAATGTGAATTTTAAAAATAATTTTTATTTAAAAAAAAAACAGTGGCGTACTCGAGGGGTAAACTGCAGAGGAATTATGGTGTACACTGTGAAGGAATTCTACAGGAATTCCAAGGAAATACGAGGAATTCCAAGGAATTCCAATTATTTCCGTAAGAATTCCAATGAATTCCAAGGAATTCCTTAGAAATTTAGAGCAATTCCACAGGAATTAAGAGGAATTACAAGCAACTTTATAAAAAATTAACGAACATTAGTAAACCATGAATACTATAATAGGTAGTACTAAATTTAAAGAAAAACGTTTTGCAGGCGATTTTTTACTATCCGTTTTTCGTTTTCGCTTCCAAAATTTCCCAATATCAAATATCTACAGGTTAGATATTCTTTTAATTTAATATTGTACCCTCGATTATATATCTAAAATATTTTCCAATAGTACGGCCGAACCACCCCCGAGAGATCTACTTATAACGTTCCCTGATTTCGCCATTTTAAAGAAACCCTCATAAGATTTTTTTATTCAGTACTCCAGAAAGTGTAAAGTTGATTTTTTCATTTCCTCGGAATAATACCTAGGTATATACTATAGGGAAATTAATACAACTTTAGGTGCACTTCATCAATGATACCATGCGTAATCTTATGGAATTTACTGGTGATCGTATTATGACGTGCAACTGAAGTTTTTCTAATTTCCTTTCCTATAGATACGAGTACAACTAGGTACCTATCATTTTCAAAAAATCCCGAGAAAAATTAATTTTAATAAGTAAATGCCGACATATTTCCAGTATTTTTACCTCATGATCCCCTATTAGTCCTAAAATTTAACTAAAAAAACGTAAATCTCGTAATAGTACTTTTTATTGCTAGATCTAGTACTTATAGAGACATTAGACATTTATAAAAATCACCAGAAAATTCATAGCGGAACTGCGAAACCGAGGTGGCAACGCTGGTTGAGACTGAAAGAGTTACCGAGTTCATACCAAGGAATTCCAAGGAAGACCTTGAATGATTGACCTTGACATTGAAGACCAGGAATTCCAAGGAATGCCGAAGGAATTACGAGGAATTCTGAGGAATTATTTGAGTAAAAGGAATTACGGTGTACACTTTTCCCTCTGCGGTTTACCCCTCGGGCGTACTATTTTTTTCTTCAATAATAATTAGTTTAAATACCGTAGGGACGCCACTAATGAAAATAAAAAAAAGTTAATAGCATCAAAAAACGTAATTTTATGGTAAAACAACGTGTACCAGATTTAGTGATTTTCGTCCAACAAGGCCCTGAGATATTAAAAAAAAACTCTTTTTAGGGGCGAAATTCAGGGGGCTGTAAGTCAGAAAAGGGGGACCACAGTCCAAAAATAAAAAATACGGGTCACCTATTTTTTTTCAAGAATCTATGACCAAATTTTGTTGCATTAATTTCCGGACACCCTGTATAAGCGCAATCAATACACGGAGAAAACGCGAGTCTCGAAAATATAGTAAAAATTACAATATTTTAATAAAATTTAATAACAGAAAAAGGAATAAATTCATTTTATATTGTAAATATTCCAAAACGGTTTAGTAAAATTTATTAAAATATTGTAATTTTTACTATATTTTCGAGACTCGTTTTCTCCGTGTTCCATTTTATTTTATTTTATTATGCTTTTTTATGTTTGGAGTTTTATGTATATGAGTTAAGTACTGTATATGCACAGGTATAGGTTTGTGAATCACGCTTAATATCTAATAGTTTGGAAGAATTTGTTCACCCTCTGCCTCATGATGGTCTCCTGGGCCTCATTCTGTCATCAGGCAGTAATGCATTTTCCTTATACTACCCTTTTTATTATGTTTATAGATTCAAGCTCAAATGGCGACGATCTGCGAGATCGTTGGCGAGGGAATCCCGCGCCTGACTTCTGCCGTTTCTCCGGCAAATTTTCTTTCAGGTAAAAGGCACCTTAAATATGATGGGGCGCTTAGAGAGATAACAGAGATGTTCGAAAGTATCGATATCGATACTGATTTAATATTCCTGCTGTTTCCTGTTTTAATATTCCTGCTTATCTACCAGGTGCGTCTCAAAAGTGGCCCACCCCTATAACTTTTTTATTTTTTCAGATAAAAGAACGAAATTTGGTATTTTAGTATATGACTTAAATTAGGATTGATTGACATATTCAATTCTTTTCAGTAACTTCCTGTTTCACCGGAAATGACAACTTTTGATTTTGAAATGGCATCCTCGGTATATTTCTGCTTTATTCGATAGATAAAAATGTCATATGTCAACTTTTGGCATTTTCGCATATGGTTTATTTAAAATTGTAACATGCGGTTCATAACGACAATTTCACTCGAAATGCCAAGTGTGTGGTATCAAATTATTCGTAAAAAAAAATATTTTTCCGAATACGCTACTATAATGAGCCACCCTCGTTCAATTTGAAAAAATTGAGATATGATTAAAAATACGATTTGGCATCTTTTAACCGACCAGGACAAGCGACTAAAAACATTAGACTATCAAATCTATATACTTTCAAGGCTCCTTGATTAAATATTAGTGTTTTTAACACAGCCATGGCAGTCTAGATTGAAATTTAAAATACAATTTTGTTTTAAGCGAAAATGTCAAAAGTTGACATATCATATGTCATTATACTCAGAGTATTATTTTCCATGGAAGATTATTTTTTTCTCGTATTTCATCATAGGGCGCAGTATAAAATACACAAAATAAAGAATGTTATACAAAATTATGAATAGGTCTAAGATTAAATACACTTAATTACTATGTAGTGTGCAAATTAATAAGATTATACATTTTCTGGAGGTAATCGCTTCATTAAAAATAAGAGAGATTTTGTGTTAAACTGGTGTTTTCCTACAAAGTTATTTGTTTAAGTGATTATATAGTATTACTGCAATAAATAGAAGTTTCTCAGATATCTGAGACCATTTAAAGTGGACTAGGGTATTAAACAGATTAGGTAAGAAATAAGCTTCTAAAACTACTGAGAGTAGAGTACGAAAAGTAGTTTTATTTTTGAGTGATTTTTGGAACACTATACGCATCGATATATAAGCACATCTCTAGAAAATAGCTGCCATCGTAATGATTTTCGAGCTTTTACTTGTGTTCATCGAGGCGAGAGAATAAGTATTCTTATCCTCTAAGCTGGCGAAGGAAAACTCATTTTATTCCCAAATCCTGGAAGATTTTTTCACCGCCCTTTATTTATGCCGTCAGTGTGGTGGAGGTTGTGGAAACGAATTTTCCCTTTTTCGCAATTTCAAAAGAATAACCGTATTCAAGAAATAATGTAAATAT